ATATATATATATATATATATGAATATTGTGATTCTGGGAATAAAAATCAATTTTTTAGCAGATTTTGATAAAAGATGATGAAATGTATGGTTGAAAAGTTGTGGATCTTATGAAATATGTGATTAAAATTAATTTTTGGTTTTAATTTATTTTAAAATCTAGATTTTAATCCCTATCAAACAGGTGCTGTATTTTATTTTATTTTACTTTACTTTTTTGTGTCCTCTATGGATATCAAATAATGCATTTATTATTTTATTGCTCTAATTCATGAAATATATTAATTTATCTTTGAGTTTATCTTAACTAAATTTTATTTTATTTTTCTAAAATATAACAAGATTAATTAACAGAATCTTATGATAGTTACTTGAAAAATAAATAACTGGCCACATTTTCATTTTGGTGTAATCAATGAATATTATTCTTACGTATATATTTTTCTTAGAGTTTGTTTGAGCATCATTTTCTGTAAAGCATTTTAGAATGTCAAATAGGGGCTAAATTTCATGAACAAAGTTGTCAAGAGAGAAACTTCAAGCAACTGCAATAACTTAAGGCCCTGTTTGATTCCTTAAATTTTCCCACTTTTTTGTTGTTTGATGACAAAAATTTTCCATGAAAAATCTTTTCCCACCCCACACCCATGCGCCCATTTTCCTTGTTTTGTGGGAATTCATTTTCCCACCAGTTTCTGGCCTTTTTTTTTCTTACAATGGTAACAAATTTCATAACCAATTGTAAAAAAAAATTCACTTTGATGAACAATTTCCATATCAAATAAAGCCAAACGTGAACAAAAAATCCAAAATTTTAAAATTTTTCGGGTGAAAAATTATAATAATCAAACACACTTAATTAACAATTCTCTGTAAAACAAGTTCTAAACAATTATTAGTAGTTAAAAAATATGAAAAAATTTTAGATTTGCGTATAATATTATTTTATTAAAAAATATGTGATTAAAAATAAAAGAGAGAAAAATAAATTTTAAAAATAATATGAACCAAACAAGAGCTAATGTTTTTATAAGAGGACTACATCGTGAATATAAGCATAATTGGTCTCCATCTCTCTTTCCGTGTTCAATAATTATGGTCAAGGTTTTTATGCCCAAATCCCAATTCGATGTCCTTTACTTTAATTTAATTTATTTTTCATATTCATTTTCAACCACATTTAAATAATAAAATATTTTATACGTTAATTTAAAATTTTTCTCTATTTTTTAATCACACATTCTCCAAAAAATACTGTTTAACCGGAATGCTTTTTAAAATTTTAGGATGTCAAATAGGGCCAAATTTCATGAACAAAGTTGTCAGAGAGAAACTTGAAGCAACTGCAATAACTTAGAAAATTCAGCTCCTTTTTAGTAGTATTGTATTGTCCAGATTCTTTGGCTCCTAAACTAATGGCCCCATCAATGACTAATTTTTAAGGATTGTGAATTATTGAATCTTAAATAATTTGATACGACAGTTCTGCTTAATACATATTTTGTGTATTGTATTGAGTTGCGATAGACTCTACAATTAAGTCACTGTTTGTCTCTTTTTTCGAAACTCTTTTTTTTCTCAAACTCATTTTCAATCACACGTGTACACAACAAAATATTTGGTACATAAATTGATTTTTTTTCCCTACTTTTTTAACAGCGTATTTTCCAAAAACTCATTATTCAAAAAATCATTTTCCCAAAAAACCTCTTTAAAAGGGTAGACAAATAGAAGCTAATGTTCTTCCACGATCACGTAATATAATGTTTGTCTAATTATCGGGGTTGAATTTTAGTCCCTGTTTGGTATTGTTTAAGATTAAATTTTTAGTACATTTTGATAAAAATTAATGAAATATGTGGTTGGAAAATTATGGATCCTATAAAATGTATGATTAAAATTAATTTTTGACTTTAATTTGAAATTGAAATTTGATTTTAATCTATACCAAATAGATGGTTCAATGGCATTAAAAAGTTTTATCTATCGAAACGTTAGACAAGAGTAAATCTCTTAAATATACCAACATATTGGTTTTTGGACTAAAATTTGAATAGTGTTATCTAGTACCAGTGGTGTTACAGTACTAATTTATGTACCGCATTTGATATGTTCAATTAAATAATCATTTGACATTATATTTAATGAATTTATTATTAAATATCATTCAGATGTCACCTAAATTGGTACTTGAAATTCATGGTGCTGAATAATATTATTCCCAAAAACTATGAAGATATTTTAGGGGTATGAATGATGATTGACAAAAACTTTTTCTTTTTTTATTGACCAGAAAAGGTATTTTGAATTTTCATTTATTTATAGATAAAAGTTAGGAGCGTTTCCTCTCCAATTCCTAAGTCTCAAATTTCCTACAATGACACTAAAGTTCAATAACGACTTCATACATATATCAAGTCATAAAATGCGATATCAGTACATCTCGATGAGATTTGAATCGAAGAGACCCATTTTGTTTACAAACGTCACATCCAGTGGTCTGAATTTTTCCAAAGACAAATCAATCATCTTATTCTCCAAAGATAATTTTGCTCCCGTTTGCCCCCATTATTTGAAATTAAAATTTGTGAAATATTATGTTTTTGGAGAATACGTGGTTGAAAAAAAGGAAATATTTTTTTCGATTTATGTGTAATATTATTTTATGAAAAATTGTGTGTCTGAAAATAAAAGGGAGAAGAATTTTTTTTTTTTTGGATAATGAAGGCTGAACGTTTTGTGGTCAAGTGAAAAGTGGTGGATGTTGATGGACATTTGGGTAAGTTTGATTGGGGAAGTGAAATTTATTTTATTTTTTTATGTGTTAATATGTATTTAATTATTTTAATTGTGGTTTTTATATTTTTGAAAATTTAAGGGAACTTTATTTGTAATTTTTTTTGGTTTTTTTACGACTTTGTTTTGCACTTCTTTATTTATAGATAATGATAAATTCGTCATTAAACTTGTTTTGATTGTTATTTTTTAAAATTCATTTTTTTCCAAGTTCATTTTCAATAATATATTAATTAACTAAAATAATTTTACACATGGATTTATAAATTTTCTCTATTTTTTAATCATATATTTTTTTTTTATGTTAAAAAGGTTGATGATAAATTTGTCATATTTCGAAAAGAATGAGGACGGAGGTACAAATTTTAAATAGTGAAATTTCGGATTTTTAAAGTCGCTTCCTCGGGCGCTATTCTTCTCGCAGTACCAGTAGAAACCTTCTCCAGTAGTCCAATGGCAGAAGCTCCATCAAATCAATCCCCGACCCGAACACAGAACCCGAATCCAGCAATAAACCAGCTGGAAACTAACTCGTTACAGTTGTGGTGCCATCACTGTGAAAAACAGGTCTTGATTGAAAGCCTACCGGATCTTCCTGATGTCATCTGTGAGGAGTGTAATAATGGTTTTGTTGAATCCATCTCCGCCGTAGCCCCGAATTCTCCTCCAGTGCCGATTTTCCACTCCGTCGCATCCGAGGAGATCGATGACCTCTATGTCGAAAACCACTTTCTTCGAGTCCTTCGTCGTATCTCTCAGGACTCTCATGAAGAAGACGCTCCCCCTCCTCCATCCGAGCAAGTCGATCCAACAGACGACAACTATTTACGCATCGAGCTCGGCGGCTGGGACGCCCCAGACGACGAAGACGAACATTCAGCTGAAGTGCGGCGTGATGATGAATACGAGAATCGTGAGCGAGTTATGGAGGATCGAGACCTATCTAATAATGATGATGAGGAGAATGAAGTGATTGAGGCTGGTGGCGATGGTGAAGAGGAGGATGAGACGTCGAGGCGTGAAGATCTTGTCCAGCTTAGTCTCAGCGCCGCGACAAGGCGGAACAGGGTTCTTGATTGGGCCGAGATTTTAATGGGAATCGAAGACCATACGGTTGAACTGCGATTTCAAGTCCCGGAATCCGATACTTTTATCGGAAATCCGGGGGATTACGTGGATGCTGTAGGGTACGAAGCCTTGTTGCAGAATTTAGTGGAAAATGATAACGGAGGAAGGCGAGGGGCGCCACCAGCTTCGAAAGAGGCTGTGGAGGGGTTGGAAAATATGTTGATTGGGAAGGACGAAGCCTCGCTCGCTTGTGCTATATGTAAAGATTCACTGAATGTAGGAGATATGGCGAAGAAGTTGCCCTGTCGGCACGAGTACCATGGGGACTGCATTGTCCCATGGTTAAGTTCGCGGAATTCCTGTCCCATTTGCAGGTTTGAGTTGCCTACGGATGATCCCGAGTATGAGAAGAAGAGGAAGAAGAGAGCAGCAGAGGCCGACCTAAGAGCTGGTTCCTCGAGTACCTCTTCTCGTGGTGGTGGTGGTGGTGTTTAATTATGATCCACACCTTAACTGATTTTCTATGGTATGATATGAAGTAATTAGGCTTCTTCTACTGTAAATAATAAACTCTAAATTGGAATTCTTCAATACTAATGTCTATCTGGTGTAAGTCATTTCCTCGTTAACTTCACTCTATTTAGTTGTTTTTGCTTGTGTTTACTGGCAAGATATGGTGTGCCTTGTCTTGTGATTGTATAAATGTGATTTCCTTTAATGGAAAATGATGCCGAGCATATTGAATATATAGTGTTAAATGCCTTGAGCATAATTCAGTTTTTGTCAAAGAAATAGAGTAATAGGATTCTTCATCTGGCTGTCCATGATTAGCTATTATACGGAAGTGATCTTGCCAAGTAGAGAGAGATTCAGATAAACAAGGGGATAATTTGTCCTCTTTCCCTTGTTGATATGGGCTTAATCATAAGGCAGAAGTTTTGGAGACTGCAAAGAAGGATGTTTGATGGTGGCAAGATTGTCGAAAGGCCTATTAAGAAATCCAAGCAACGTACAGGAAATCCCAATCTAGTCCAGATATTACTTGTGTCAAGCTAAATAGTGAAGTAGATGCATTAGTCTTATCCTTCGTTGAATAGCTTGCCTGAGAAAACCCATTTATGGCTTCTTCATCTCCCCTAACCCCTTCGAGGAGAAGAAATGTATGCCCCGTACTCGTATCTGGTAGGATCCTGATTTGATCATTTGATCTGATGTGTTTTAGCGGATTTGAAAGGGATTTCTCAAGAATGGAAATAGAAAGGAACTTCATCTTGAATATATGTAATAAAAAGTCACATAAATAGCTATGATCTGTAAACTAAACTTCTGTATGAATCTCTATGAAAACTCCTGCTATAGTTTTGTATTTTGCTGCACTTTCCTGCTTTTGCATGTACCAGCAATGAGAAAAGAACACGGAGCCGAAGATTTAATATTCGGTGGTACATCCGTGCGATGTTATATGAGTGGGATGAGTTTTTCCAGTTTAGTTTTCAGATGGTTAAGATTATGTTATATTGAAGTGCAACAGAGTCGTGGACTTGAGAATACAAGGTCTGTCGTGCAAGTCCCACGAGTGTACATGTTGGATTTTATGTCAATTTGTGACTTTTATTTCTGTCCTCGGGCACCAAAAAAGTGCCTCGCTCTTCCAATAACAAGCATAAAACTTCCTTAGGCATTTCTTCTTTTTACCCCTAGCCTTTTCGATATACTTTGTGCGACTATGTTATTAATTTGAGTTAAGGAATTTACTCCTGCATTTTTTGGTTTTACCTCTGATTATCATGATTTCACTCGCTTGTTTCTGTTTCATTCTTAATCATACATTTGATTGTGCAAAACGTCATTCCGTCCATTTCAATCCAACTTCTCCGTTAAGTGTAGTCAAATTTTTTTGAAAGGGAAGGGTATTCCCATCCTAGAACATTGTTCTTCTTTCTTCCCCATTTGAATACATTGTCTCATCTGTTTTTTCAAGGTAAGATTGAAGATCCCAGTTCACCCCAATTTAGGCTGATATTGGATAAATTATTTCCATTTTTGCTCATGTTACCATATGTTCCAAGTTCATTTTCTGTTGAGTGGGCTCAAGTGGCACGCTTTTCTAAGTGGTTTGATCGAAGTGCCTTTGATGTTGGAAGTGCTCGGGACAGTAAAGATTTTCATACAACCTCGAAAATCGGAATTCAACTTTCAATCATGCATTTCGCGCACAAGTAGTTGTTTAAAATTGATATATATTGCATCACTTAATGATACCGTAGTGTCACTAAATCTTTACTTAAATTTTAAAGTAACATAAAAAGAAAATTTATGGAATTATCACCGTAAAAAAAAAAGGGCTAATGATTGAACTATTCATAATAATAAATAAACCGATTTTTTAAATAAAGTTGAGATTTCGATAAGTTCAACTTAAAGAAAAAATGATGTTCAAGTAAAGTCAATTAAATAAAACCAAAAAGATAAGTTCCATTTATATAATTATTAAATACCACCATCGCACATCCATTTCGCGCCCACAGTCTCAAACCGTTAGTTCGTTTAGTGAAAAAGAGGGGTGAAATAATACTCCACAAGTGGGAACCATAGATTTGTAAATCGTGTTAAAATTTCGGACAAAATCATTTCACATAGTTTCATAAAGAAGACATAAGAAAAATGTCGCACTTAGATGATAAAGATTTCTTTTGCGTAGGCTACAAAACCTCGATCCTCTTAGCATAAACGCATACAAAAAGGACTCATAAATTCTATCCCAAAAACTAATAACAGCATAAACAAACTGTGTAACACACTTATCATAAGTGCATTTTATGTGCTTATTCGGGCTTCTATTCATATTTATTTATATGTAAATTGAGCGAATATCTACTTAATTTATGTAAATTATATTAATTGTAAAAACAATCTTAACTTAGATACAATTTATATGAAAATGGGTTATTTGGAGCTTAATTGGAGATTAACTTGATTGCAAGAGATCAATTGGAAATATTAATGAAGCATTCTGTAAAAATTCTACGTTACGGGAGTTAAATTCGGCATTTAGAAAGTTTGAGGACTAAGTTTCAATTTTGGAACTTGTATCGAACCAACTATAATGATTTTAGAATGAAAATGACTTACTTGCAATATTAGAAGATAGAGGACTAAAAGCACATGAGAAAAAGGAGTTCAATTGGAAAAGGAATTTTTTTTTTTTTTTTTCCTTCTCAAACTTTTTGATGGAAATCAAATTGAATAATGATTTTATCTAATGTTCTATAAATACACACCATAGTCCAACAATTAAAATGACACTTGCAGAGTTTCATTATACACATATATTGAAGTCAAGACTTGGAGGATTCATTGTACATATATTATTCAAGTCAAATGGGGAGAGAAAAAAATCAAGAAATCAATCAACAAGCTAGGGTTTCAAAATTTTACAAGAAGAAGGCGAAATCTTGGTGCAAGATCTTCATATTTTTCCCCTTTTTCCCTAAAAACTCGATGAGCACCTTATTTTTTTCTTGTATTTTTATTCTTCCATGCCAAATGAACAAATACAAACTTGTAATTAATTTTTCTGATTCTCGAAGAATGAGAGGTAAAGGGATTAATTGAAAAAGATCTCTTGTTCTTATTATAGGACTGTGATTGAATCCACATATATTTGGTAAAGAGAATACTCTTCTCCTTTGAAAATAATCAAAAATGGAAAGTGTTCGATTAGAACATGAAAATGTGTCTAAATAGTCCTAATTACTCTTCGGGATAAAGTGGAAGAAGGAGTGGATTCTCGAACTCGGAAAAGAATCAAATTAATTCAGAAGAATTGAACAAGGAGCCGTATGATGTGAAAATCACATGTATGGTTCTGTCAAGTGATCATAAGAGTGACTTATATGTCAACTTTTATTAGAATAAATGAATGGAACTTAGTTTTAAATCTAATTATAATAAAAGTTTTAAATCTTCAATTAATTTTGTGCATTGTTTTTACTTCTATTTTTAATGATTGGTTTCACTGCCACTAATTTATTAATTTTGTGAGCGGTAATTACATAGATATGAGGATTATTTGTTTGGACCACATAGTAAAAATCAGGAACTAGTATAAAAGTATAAAGATATATTTTCTAGTCAATGCGGTCATTAAATGGATTCTTAGATATTTAGTGGTTTAACAAAGGTGTATTCAGATTCACATAGAGATATATAATTGACTTAATTAAATAGAATCAATTTGAACTCAAAAGAGGTAAATTAAATATGTTAGAAGAATTCTATCGAATAAACATAATCAATTCTTATAGAATCGATAATTGAGATTAAGGGAATAGCTATGTGAATTCATAGATCCTAAAAATTAAATCATCGTATAAAAAATTCATTTTTATTATTTTCGTATATTTAAAATAATAAATAAATAAAATAAAATACACACCTTTTAGTTATTTTCGATCGAATTAAAATTAAGAATAATTTAACCCACAGTTAAATAGTAGTCATGCGGAAACGATATTCGGGCTCTTAGATTCATTTTATTATTTGTTACGATTCGTTCATTCGCGAGATATAAAATCAACAATAACTCACGTGTTATGAACTAAGAAACTGCGTGAAAACTCCTTGAAACCACTCAATTTTTGCACCTGATATGACCACACCAAAAGCACTTTAGTAGGTGTTCGTCTGAAAATGTGCGTAAGAAAAAGGGAAAAGCAAGAGGGGGAAAGTTTGTCTAAATTTATATGATTGAATATAAGATGTTAGGATTTTGAGCTATGGTTAATTACTTTTGGAAATTATAACCATTTCCTTAATCAAATAATTATGAAGATCAAATCACGTGCTGAAATAACTTCTAACCGTCAATTATGAAAGAGATGTGCTAGAGGTACATAATGAACACCAACACCTCCTCCAATGATGGGGCACCATGTGTCCATTATAGACACCATTATGGTGCCCATTATGTACAAGGAGAATAACCCATTATGAAAAGGGTCTCATTGCGTGCCCACATGTCATGAGATGAATATTCATACTTTGGCAGTCAAGGCATGTTAAACCAAAAGAACATCTCTGTAGCCAAGGCTCCTCCGAGCAAAGGAGTGCAGAATTCTAACATTTTGCAAGGAACGTGATGGAGGCCTCCGATAAAGAGCTTCGAATTTTCTCGAAAATGGGCAGAGACCTTAGTGCGATTTTTGGAAAAATCAACATGGGTTTCAGTGCACTAAACCCAGGACGTGTTCGGTAAAGATTAAAATCGAATTAAAATTGAAAAACTAGCCGCTATTGTTGACTTTTATTAGACGAGTGAGACTCAATAACGACTATATTTTTTATTTTAATCGGATTTTAAGTTTAGCCAAACATGTTTTAATGTTGTTAAACATGGGCGGCTATGGACACATCAAATCAAGGGGCTATGGATAATGGACTCCTGTTTGTGCAACATTTATCTGCAAATAACGACAAAAGCACAAACATCCGTG